GGACACACTGACAAAGGAGATTAATCAGAACTGGCTTTGACAAGCACTGTGGCAATTGGACAATTAAACAGACATGGGGGGGGGAAGAAAAACGACCTTGGGAGGAGGGTAGAGAAAACAGTGCAACAATAAATGAATGAGAGCCCAAAATCTCTGTAAATGTTCATTAAAACTAATAAAATTTAATTATAAAAAAAAAATGAGACCGTCTGCTTATGTGAAGATTTACAGCCTTTGAAATGCAACTCTAACATGCATGAGTTTCTAGATTGGCTACAGCTGGGTTTGAGATTTGGTTATTTTTCCAAGAATCTATAAGGAGGCCGACTGCCCGTGACTTTTTCAGGCAGAGAGGCTAATGGAGTCAGTGACTTGCCATAGCTGCTTCCTTCAATGTATCGTCTCTTTCCTCCTGGTTAGTGATTTTCCCCCCCTCCAGGTTCAATCAGATGATGATGCATCATGCCACTATTGCTAACTGTTCACACGAATCAGTAGAAACAGAATTCTGAGGAGGAAATGCAGTCTCACCCCATCACATGATCTTATGTAAAAGGAATTGTCACGTTTGGTGGTGGTGGTAGTGGTGTTAGGTGCGGCTGGCAGTTTAAAATGAGTGAATCTTTAGGGCTTTCAGAATTGGGAGTTTGTCACTTTGAATGGTGGTGGTTTCTTCTTGGATGAGATGGGTTAATTTGGACAAGTTGTATATTGCTAGTTGCCCACCAATCGATTCAGAATCATGGTGAGCCAGTGTACTTTAACAGAGTTCCATAAAGATTTTCTAGCAGCCAGGAAGTCAAAAGATGAATAACATTGGGAAAGTCAGCTGTCAGGGACCTCTCCAGAGTACTGAAGAACAACGAGTCAGTCTGGAGACTAAGGTGCAACCTGACACAGGCCATAGTTTTTGCAGTTACTTGCTATGTGTCAGAAAGCTGGACAATGACAAGGGATGATAGACAGAGAATTGATGTCTTTGGGCTGTGGTGCTGGAGAAGAGTGTTGAATATAATATACCATGTATGGCTAGAAAAAAAAAAAACCAGATTCGTTCTAGAGAGGGTGAAACCAGGGTGTTCCTTGGAGACAAGGATTCTAAGGCTTTGTCTAACATGCTTTGGGCATGTTGCTAAGAGGGACCAGTCCTTGGAGAGGGACATCATGCTTGGAAGGGTGGAGTGACAGCCCAAGAGAGGAAGACCCTCGATGAGATGGATTGATTTAGTCACTAGGGTAATCAAGAAGGGTGTGTCAGAGACAATAAGGTTGGCACAGGATAGAGCAAAGAGTTCGGGGCTATTGTACATAGAGTCACTATGAGTCACAAGAGACTCGACGGCATAACAATATTGGAAGTGTATTCCCAGGCATTTTGAAGGGATAACACAAACCATAAATCATTTGGGTGGACATTTTTCCATGTGGTTTATTGCCTTTGAAACCTACTATAAGATCAGCTCTGCATCCAAAAAGAACTACCAGAAATACAAGGTGGATTTAGAGGATGCTATCTCATGAGGGACATCATTGCCAATGTCAGGTAGATCTTGGATAAAAGCAGAAAGTACCAGAAAAATGTCTGTTTATGTTTTATTTACTATGTAAATGCATTTGACTGTGTGGATCACAGCAAATTGAGGCTAACCTTGAGAAGAATGGGAATCCCAGAACACTTGATTGTGCTCATGGAAAACCTATACTTGTATCAGGAAATAGTCATATAGACAAGGCAAAGAAACATGGCATGGTTTAGAATCCAAAAAGGAGTGTGCAACACAGACGCATTCCTTTCTTTTTTAAATAAATAAATAAATAGATAGATAGATAAATATTTTTACAAAAATTTTCGTTTTCTTACAAAATTCATATACATTGTCACATTGGATCTTTCCCATTTGCATACCTTTTCTATATGTGGAGCAGAGCATTCAGGAGGCTGGATTATATGAAGAAGAATGTGACATCAGAATTCTAGGCAATTTATCAACAACCTGCCCTATACAGATAATACAACTTTGCTTGCCAAAAGCAAGGAAGACCTGAAGCAGTTGCTGGAAAAGGTCCAGGACTGCAGTCTTCAATATTGATTGCATCTCACCATTAAGAAAGCAGATTCTTACCCTGGGCCAAGAAAACACTGAGGTTTTTTAACAATTTCATCTTGCCCGGATCCTCAGTCAACACTTTTGGCACTAGGAGTCAGGAAATAAAAAGACAAGTTGCTTTGGGAGTCTGATGTCAGGGACCTCTCCAGAGTGTTCAAAGTAGTGAGGTCAGTCTGAAGATCAAGGTTCACCTAACCCAGGCCATGGTTTTTGCAGATTTGCATGTATCTGAGAGCTGAACGATGACTAAGGATGATAGAAGAATCAATGCTTTTGAGATGTGATGCTGAAGAGTATTGAACATACCCCATTCACTGCCAAGAGGACAAACAGGTCTGCCCTGGAGAGGGTGGAGCCGACTTTCTCCTTGGGCGCATGTATTTTGAAAGTCTTGTCTCGCATGCTTTGGGTATGTTGTCTAGAGGGACTAGTCCTTGGAGAAGGGCATCATGCTTGGAAAGGTAGAAGATCGTTGCAGGAGAGGAAGACTGCATGAGATGGATTGACTTAGTGACTGGCAATGGAGGCAGGTGTGTTGGAGATAGATTGGCTCAAGGTAGGACAGGGTTCAGAGTTGTTGTTCATAGGGTCTCTATGAGTCTAGGTCTACGCAAGGGCACATAACAATAATAAGAGTCCATACTAACTGAGCAGCACATACCACCACCACCATGGGTCCTTACTTCAGTAACACAGAGTAGTTTAACCAACTCATGTAATCAATGAGCATATGCACCTGTCAATATATCTTGCTCCTTCTAGAAGGATTTACAGCCTGGGAAACCTGATGTAGGATTACTGTGAGTTAGATTCAACTCTGTGGCAGTGGATGTTTGTGAAATCATGAAATGTACTACTTTTGTTGTACTTATTCCCTGAGGAGCATGCTATGTAGTGTAAATAATATTTACTAAAGTTCTTTTTCTTTCCTTTTTAAAATTAGAGAGTCCCACGGACTGGCTGGGTGTACAGAAATGTAGAGAAGCCAGAGAGTGTATCTGATCACATGTACAGGATGGCAATTATGGCCATGGTGACCAAAGATGACCATCTTAACAAAGACCGGTAAGCTGATGGAAACTGGGGTCTCTGGGAAAAGTCCTGATGAAAGCCCTCAGCCGCTAACCTTTTGGTTAGCAGTTGAGATCTACCTGATGTACTGTGAGGGAAATAATGTGGCAGTCAGGAAATTTGGTGGCAAGGTCGTTTAAGCATTAGGCTGCTAAAGAGAAGGTTGGGTGTTCAAGAGAAAGATGTGGCAATCCCCTTCCATAAAGATTTACAGCCTTGGAGATGTTACGGGGCAGGTCTGCGCAGTCCTCCTGGGGCGTTGTAAGCCAGGAATCAACAGGACGGTGGCAAGAGGAGTTTCTGTGGGTGAGGGGTTTCCACTTGATAGGCATACCTCAGGGAGCACTGTTGACTTAACGATAAGAAGTTGGGCTGCCAACCCAAGGGTAGGCAGTTTGAATCAGCTGCTCTGTGGAAGAAAGATGGGCACTCTTCTCTCATGCTATTTACTGCCCTCCGAAAACCTGCTGGAGGGTAAGCTAAGAGTTGATTCTGACTCATTGGTACATAGCAGCACAACAAAGGTATACCTCATTTTCATGATTAAGACCTGTTTCCAGTTCTTGTGTTTTAGATTACATATGGACAAAAATGGGCCTGAATCTGGGCCAAGGGGAAGAACTGTGTATGTTGATTGCTTCAGTTGATGCAAATTGAATTTTAGTTTTTGTTTGGCAAATGTTGAGACCTTCTATAGTTTCAGAGGAAATTCATTGTGATATTAGGGATTAAGGCCTTGAAAATGTTTTCTGTCTGAAGGTTTATAGTTATAGTAGTACATTACAGTTTTTATTTATTTAACTCTTTTTATTATTGTGAATGAGGAACTCTGGCCAACTGGTAAGGAATTGCATTACCAGTTTACAGACAGGTGTTTCGAATCCTCCAGTTGCTCTTTTTAAGAAAATTGGACGATCTTCTATATAATTAACTGCCTCTGAAAACGTGCCAGATCGTCAGCTATGAGTTGGTTCTAACTCAATGGTGCATAACAACAATAATGTGAATAGTAGCACCCATTTGTGACCTTATATCTGTAAAATGTAGCTAGAAAGATATATCCTCACCCCATCCTTCATCAGTCAACACATGTTTAAAATGGTTCTTACCAAAAGTTTATTTATCAACAGTGTAACACAGTAAGTGTATCCCAAATGAACTGTATTGATCGAAAATAAGTTCTATAAAAGACCCAAATAAGTAAAGTCAGAAAATTAGCGTAGCATTCTAACTATGAAGGAAATCAGTGTTCTGGTGTAACGTTAACTCTGAAGGGTGTGCATCAGGGAAGTTACAGCACACTGAGAGACACCTTGATGGGGAATGGAAAGTGATGTTTTAGAAATTATGAGTCAGTTCTGATTGTGGCAGAAGGCTCACTTAGGGAGTCAGAGGACATCTAATACTCCATGGAAGCTGCAGAACTGAGGAGATTTGTTGGCAAATTGCACAAGATGAAAGTGGTGGTGAGTGGTGATACAGCTCAACCACGTGGTGTTTGAATTGGATGCAGGGAGACTGAAGCTGAGGAACCTGCTAGGCCTTGGGCTGCCTCGGTGACAGTGTGAATTCAGCACTCTGGTGCTCTGGCCATTTAGCTCATCACCTCGCCTTGTTATTCTTATGATAATTATCATAATCACTAACTTCATTATCACTAATTATCTGGCCATTTAGTGAATGACCAGCGTGTGCCAGGAACAAATCATCACATTCCACTTTCATGCTCACCTCATGAAGCCTTAGTAAAGGCCTTTCCCCCCCAGATGATGTAAAATGGAGGCTGATAAAATTGAACCATTGAAGAAGTTAAGTAACTTGAAGAAGGTCACGTAGATGATTAGTGGTAGTTGATGGATTCAAACCCAAATCCATCCCATTCCATTATTCTGTAATATCCTCCTTTTGATATCTAACTGGGCCATTAGAAAGATACTCAGAAAGAGGAGAAATACTTGTAAACCAAATCATTCCTTGGCTTTCTAACCAAATAGTTTAAAAAACCCAAAAACCTAATAATAAATTATTCTGTATTTGTGTATGTAGTGTTGGATATTAACTAGCAGTTTTGGTTAAAAACTGTTGTAGGCTGAAAGAATATAATTACTGTAGAAAATACTGTGTTAAAATACTATGTGAGGGTGGAGAGAGAAAAATTATATAGCTTTAACATAGTATTGAGAAGGTGCTTGTAGTACATATGACTCTGTATAATTATTTAACATTTCTTGCCTGGTTAGATGTGTACGCCTAGCCCTGGTTCACGATATGGCAGAATGCATCGTTGGGGACATAGCACCAGCAGATAACATTCCCAAAGAAGAGAAACATAGGCGAGAAAAGGTTAGTGTTGACTAATGACTGACAAAGGCCACCAGCAAAATCAGTGGCTTAAGAAAAGCAGAATTCATTAGACTTATTAAGAAAAATGTCACCATGACAGAGGCTTAGTGGTGGCTTAGGAATGGGAAGGACAGGGAGGATATTTATATCGTTTCAGAATCTGAGCTGAAGAGGGATCTTAGGAAATGGGTAACTAACTGATTTCGATTGAGAGAGCTCAAGACATGATCTTGTTGGGCTGGTGGGAATAGTGAGTTTTATGATTTTAATGACTAAGCTAATTTATATGGCTTACCATTCTATCTTCCAGAAGCAGGAATTTCCTAGAATACACAACTATTTCATTTTTGCCTCTTGCAACTTTAACACAAGGACAAAGATTGAGATTGATTTCTTTTCTCATTAGTATATACAAATAGATCATATTCCTCAGAATGGAGGAAAGAGCTGAAAGGTAGTGAATTTATAGGGATTTACCTGACTAGTAAAGCCAGATGGCTACCAACCCTTTGTCAGTTTTTCACACTGGGACGGCTTGAGTGTTAGTATAATGCTCAAGTGATGCCTCTGGTATTTCACGTACCAGTAGGCTTACCCATGGTAAATCGGCTTTAGCAAGTCTTCCACACTGAGACTTCTGGGAAGACATCTTAGGGGACAGTTTGTTTAGTGATGTACAGAGGGCCAGGAAGGGTAAGGGAGCCCCTCAGTGAGATTAATCAGCACAATAGCAGGGACAAGGACTTGAACATATGCTTTGGAGGATGGCAGAATTGGGCATTTTGTTAAGCATAGGGTAGCCAGGGTCAGAGTTGGCAATACCTGTTATCAGATCCTCTGTGTGAGAAAGATGGACAGTCTCCTCCCCTGCGTTACACTGCCTCTGAAAACCCGCTGGAGAGTATGTGATGAGTTGGTTCCAACTTAAGGGCACCTCCCAACAAAAACTACTATAGAGGATGAAGCTTAAAGGCAAGGATGGTGAAATTCCTCTCACATGTTTGGGACTTGTTATCAGGAGGGGCTGGTCTTTGAGGGTGGGGAACAAAACACAACAAAACAAAAAATCCAGAGGCATGCTGAGGAAAGTAGAGGGTCAGAGAAAGAGAGGAAGACCCTCTACAAGATGGATTGACCTGGTGACTGGAGTGGGTTTGAGCATGGCAGAGATTGAGAGGATAACACCGCATGGGGCAGGGCTCAAATCTGTTGTTTGTAGAGTCGTTATGGATCGAAGTCAACTCAGTGACACTTGTCAATAGCTAAGTCAACTCGATGGCACATACCATCAGAGGAATAAGCCAGAACTTTCTGAACAAGAACCAAAGGTGATAGAAAGGGACTTAACCGCTGGAGATAAGAACACGCCTGCTACTGCCCAGGGAAGAGCTGGGCCCTAGCTGGTGGGGAAGGCCAGGGACCTGAACAGTCAAACCCAGGGAGCGTGATGGTCTTCCTGGACTTTATCTTGGCTCAGATGAAAACCCTTCCTGGACACATTAAACTGCCTTGCTACCTACTCCTGCTGATTCATAGGGTAATAAATGTCACCATTAAGAGATAAAATAAACAGCTTAAAAGCTGGAATTTCTTCAACAGAAAAGCGTAAGACTTGGATATGGCTAATGTTCCATTGCTTTTTGTGCTTTTGGGAGTTTGAAAGAGGATGGCCTGGGAAGTGAATGATTGTTTATGCAGATGGTCGTATTTGTCTTAAATGATGTATTCAGAAAATAAGAACCAGGAAGCATCATTTGCCCAGAGGCTAACTGACTAGATGATCAAGACATCAAACTGAAGTGGAAAAATACTTGATAAACCCTGAGGCTGACAGTTTTGGAGGGGAAAAGGTATTTAAAGATAAAGGATGGAGAGGAAAAATTCAGGAAGGAGGCTAAAGCACTACCTGTAGACTAGTCCCTCCCTAAGCATGACAGAGTCAGCTTCATAATATAATTTGAGTTGATAAATGCCATTTAATTGGGAATATCTGGATCTGGTATATACTCATATTCATATCGCTATGCTAGGGAAAGTGGAGGGGTCAGAGAAAGAAAGGACAGTGTGGATATTATCAAACAGTATCACTAATATCACACGTAAGTAAAACCCTGCTGAAAATCATTTAAAAAATGACTAGAACAGGACATCAAAAGAGAAATACAAGCCGGGTTTAGAAGAGGCCATAGGGGCATTATTGCCATTATCAGATGGATCTTGGCTGAAAGTAGAGAGTACCAGAGGAATGTCTTGTCTGTATTTCATTGACTATGCAAAGGCATTTGACTGTATGGATCACAACAAGTGATGGCTAACCTGGAAAAGAATGAGAACTCCAGAACACCTGATTATGCTTATGCAAAACCCCATATTTGGATCAGGAAGCAGAACAGAGCAAGGAAACACTGCATGCTTCAAAATCAGGAAAGGAGTGCATCAGAAATGTGTCGTATTTCCATACCTCTTCAGTCTATATGCAAAGCATCATTTGGGATGCTGGACTTTATAAGGAGGAGTGTGGCAGCAGGATTGGAGGAAGACTCATCAACAACCTATGTTATGAAGATGAAATAAACTTTGACAAGCATCAAAACTAAGGAGGACCTCAGTTGTTTGCTGCAGAAGGACAAAGAATGTAGTCTTCAATGTGAATTAAAGCTCAACTTCTAGAAGACAAAAGATTATCACTTCTGGACCAATTGGCAGCATGATGATAAATGGAGAAGAGATTGAGATTATTAACAGTTTGAGCTTATGTGGGTTCCCAATCGATACTCTTGGCACCAGCAGTCAGGAAATCAAAAGACAAATTGCTTTTGCAAAATCTGCTGTCAGTCGCCTCTCCAGAGTGCTGAAAAGCAACAGTGTAAGTCTAGAGACTACAGTATGCCTGATCCAGGTCATCATCTTTACACTTACTTGCTATTTATCAGAGAGCTGGTAGTGACCAAAGATAACAAGAAAAATTGATGCCTTTAAGTTGTGGTGCCGGAGAAGACTATTGAACATTCCATGGACTGCCAAGAAAACAAGCAGGTCTGTCCTGGAGAGGGTGAAGCCACGCTACCCCTTGGAGACAAAGTTTGAGACTCTATCTTCCATACTTTGGCCATGTTACCAGGAGGAACCAGCCCTTGGAGAAAGACATGATTCTTGGAAGAGTAGAGGGACAGTGCAGGAGAGGAAGGCCCAGATGAGATGAATTGACACAGTAACTGGAGTAATGAGGATAGGTGTCTCAGAAGCAGTGAGATTGGCTCAGGATAGAGTAAGTTTCAGTGTTGTTGTGCATAGGGTCACTGAGTCAGAGTTGACTTAACAGCACGTAATAACAGCATCAGGATCTGGCATATACTCATATTAATACATATGTGAGTTGTACTCAGTGACAGTTAACAACATCAAGATCTAGTGTGATGGAATTTAAGGCAAGAATACAGATTATGTTCCTTTGTAAAGGGAGAAATTATGTTGTAGTGACAGATGCTATTGCTTTGCAAAGGAACATAGGCAACATCATGACTGATGGAGAAAAGATTTAAGCTGTCAATGAATTCATCTTACTTGGATCCACAACCAGCACCTCTGGCACCAACAGTTAAGAAATTAGAAGATAATGCATTAGGGAAATCTGTTGTTAAGAACTTCTCCAAAGTACTATGTAGCAGTGATGTTAGTTTAAGGACTAAGGTGCACCTGATACAAGCCATAGCCCTTTTGACTACTTGCCATATATATGAAAGTTGAATGGTGAATAAGGATGACAGAATAATGACCAATGCCTTTGAGCTGTGGTGTTGGAGAAGAGAAATATCTGGTGGACTGACAAAAGAAAAAAAAATTGTCTTCGAGAAGGTGCAGCCAAAGTGCTTCTTGGAGGCAGAGATGTCAAAACTTTATCTCACATGCGTTCAGCATATTGCTAGGAGAGAGACATCAGACATAGAATGGTGGAGGATTAGTGAAAGAAAAGAAGACCCTCAGCCCGATGGATTGGCACAGTCAGTACCTGCAAGCAGTGGGTTCAGGTTTATTGTTCACAGATTCCCTGTGAGTCATACTTGACTCTGTACTACCTGACCACAGTTAATAATAGTTAATAAACATCAATTTGGAATTTAAAATATCTTGGAGAATGTGTAACTATCTTGAAGAAGGATGACAAAGCTTTGTCTCACATACTGTGGACATATTGTGAGGAGAGGCTAATCCTTGGAAAAGGACAGTCATGCTGGGAAAGGTGGAGGGTCTGGGAAAGAGAGGAAGGCCCTCAACCAGATGGATTGACACAGTGACTGTACCATTGGGCTCAAATATATCAGAGATGAGATGAAATATGTAGGAGATGATGAGGACGGTGCCGGATAAGGCAAGAATCAGGTCTGTTGTTCAGAGGGCTGCCAGGAGTCCAACTCCACTTGACAGCACCTAACAACAGTAGTCAAGGATTAGGATCACTGGATCTTTCTTCTGTGGAACCTCTGAGCTGATGAACCACTTGTCTTTCACTTAGTGCCTGAGTGTTTTAATATTATATCACCAGGGCTCTTTTTATATACATAAACCATTACAACAATCTTACTAGGCCAGTGATGTTAATAACCTCATTTTCCAGATGAAAAGCCATGAACAGCAGAGAATTAACTTTCAGAGGGTTCCACAGTGAATAGCTGGCAGAGTAGGGTTTCAAAGAAAATCAAGATCAGTATTTTGTGCTTAACTACTATGTACTACAGTATCTTCATCAGTGAAGAGAGAAGGGCGGGTGTTACTTTACAGATACTTGTCACAGAGCTGGCACAGGGCATCTGCCGAAGCTTCATTTGGCTCACTACTTCTGGCAAATTCTTGACGTGCTTTACTAACAGAGGAAGTTGTTAGGGAAAGTGTCACTAAATCTTTCCTTGAACAACAAGATGAGACCCAGGAAGGAGGGATGTGGAGCTGAGGTGGAGGACAACTCAAGGCCAGGAAAACCCCGCACTTCAGTGATGTAGATT